AGATTTACTATATAGAGTTGATTATCTATAAAAATGGTTATAGAATAAATCACAAGTTTATTAAGTAGTTTTAAAAATCTCAATAATAATCAATTGAGTAATTACATACATTTCATATCGACTGCTTTGTATGATCATCTTTTCAACCTATTCGATTATCGAAAAAATTCATCCAGTTCATTACCTAACAATACTTAGTATTCTTTAATTATGGATTGGCCCAATGATAGCTTCGATTATCAAAAGAATTCATCTCACCTAACAATACCTCATAGTATTCTTTAATTATGGATTGGCCCAATGATGGCTTCGATTATCGAAAGAGTTCATCTCACCTAACAATACCTCATAGTATTCTTTAATCATGGATTGCCCAATGATGGATTCGATTATTGAAGAGTTTATCTCATCTAATAATACCTCATAGTATTCTTTAATTTTGGATTGGCCCAACCATAGCTTCAATTATTGAAAGAGTTCATCCGTCTTATTTTACCTAACGATACCTTATAATATTCTTTAATCATGAATCGACTCAATGATAGCTTTGATTATCAAAAGAGTTTATCTCACCTAACAATACCTCATAGTATTCTTTAATTATGGATCGACTCAGCATAGCTTTGATTATTGAAAGAGTTCATCCATCTCATTTTATCTAAATTATAGTATTCTTTAATCATGAACTGGCCCAACTATGACTTTGATTATCAAAAGAGTTCATCCGTTTATTTTACCTAATAATACCTCATAGTATTATTTAATTATGGATTGCCCAAACTACTAGAGTAACTATATAAGTAAAATATGTTTCTATTTTGAGTAATCGTCTAATAGGTCTTTCACATATAACAATTATGAAGTATAAAAAGTAATATGGTCTATACTACCCTAATTCTGTTATAAAACCAAATATGGTAATTTATTTAACTATTACCTATCTATGTCATCATTGATGAAATTAATAGTATTACCAATAATATACTATAAGTGTATTGAAATTGCAAAATAAAATAGGTAAATAAAAATAAAAATAGATAAAAGAAAGTGACGAACTGAAAGAAAAATCTCAATTCTTCTTGCAGCAATTAGAATAAGAGGTTTTCTTTATCTAAATTTTTTTTTAATAAAAAATCTTGCCTTGATTTGCACTACAAATAAACTACCAAGTAAATTCTGATTGTAAGTTTTTTTTTAAAAAAATTAAGTGGTTATAGTTAACCACTAGTTCAAGATATATTAATTTGTTTTTTAAATTAATATTTTTTAAGCGTGTAAAATGGACAGTGAAAGCGAACATACCTCTGACATTAATCATCCCGATAACAATGAACCTTATGAAACTACTGAGGATTCTGTTGAAGAATCAAGTATAAAAAAAATTCGAGTAAGGTTCACTCAAACTAAAAAAAAATCAAGTCTACCTAGTAAAAGACCCAGAACTAGTTATGTTTAGAAATATTTTGAAACTGAAGACAAGCAAGATATATGTAAGATAATCGTAACTAAAAATCGAGAAGAGGATATAGGTGGAACAAATTATAAACACAATGGTGGAACAGGAAATATGAAATCGCATCTTCAATCAGTGCACGGAATATTAGAGACGGATAGTCTGAAATCAAGTGAAAAAAGCCAATTGCATATTGATAAAATGATTATGAAGGTGGTTCCACATTCTATGCCCAAACAAACAGAGTTAAAACGAGTTACAGCTGAATGGTTGGTTACTGATTCTCTACTATTTAATACTGTTTACAAAAAAGGATATAGAAAAATGATTCTTCGTATTGATCCAGCATTTCAGCTACCAAGTAGTAAGGGTATCAAACAACTTCTTGCTATCGCCTACCAAAAAAGTGTGCAAGAGTTAAAAGAATTAATATCTACTACTTGTGACACTGCTTCTATAACAACGGATCTATGGACAGCTCGTAGCAATGATGGTTATATTGGTTTGACTCTCCACTGGTTAACACCAAATTTTGAAATTCGCGATGTAATTCTGTTAGTAGAAAAAATAGAATATCCACATATAGTGAGCGAATTAAAGAATATTTGGATAAAAAAGTTAGGGAGTTTAGATTAGGAACAAAAATATTCTGTGCAATAACAGATAACGGTGCAAATATGAAAAAGGCAATTAATCTTTGGGATGGTGTTGAACGCTTTCCCTGCTCTGCACATACACTTCAACTAATGGTCATTAAGGCCTTAAAAATTATTAAACCATGCACAAAACGAATTCATAATCTTATCAAATTTTTCCAATTACCAAAACAAAGCCAACGTTTTGACCAAGCACAAATTGATCGTACTAAAACCAGCACTCCTATTCAGCTATACGTTCCTAAAGGTTTACCATCCGATCTAGAAATGGAAGAATTAGAAGAAATAGAGGATAATAATAATTTAGAATTATATACAGAACCAAAGATTCTACGTACAATTAATGATGTAAGCACCCGGTGGAATTCTACCTACCATTCCTGGAAAAGGCTTTTAGTGCTTTATCAAGCAATAGAGTGGCTCGTTGCAACCTTACATTTAAAATATGAAGATGGTGCTGAAGAAGATTCTTGAATGTTAAACAATCTTATGCTTAAAAATCATGAATAGAATTTATTAAAAGAATTAGTAAAAGTTTTTAAACCATTTGATGAATTAACTACATACTTTAGTGGAATAAAATATACCACCCTTTCGGTTGTTAATCCAAGCATCGAGGCATTAAAATTTTTATTTGCTGATGCAGAACTTGAGGATGAATTTGAAGAAACTGTTAATGCGAATGAAGGTTAATATAAAGTTATTTTTTCTATAATATTAATGCAATATTAATTTTTTGCAAATTTCATTTTAGACGAAGAATTATTTGAAGATTCTGATACTGAAATGGCTAACCCTCAACCACTGTCTCCAAACTCTAACGAAGCAATAATCTCAAAAGTTCGAGGAGTTATATACAATTCTCTTTGGCATTATTGGCAAGATCCAGAAGAAATTGGGCTAGTCACTACCTTGTTGGATCCACGATTAAAGTCAATGAAAATGTGGTCAAGTGAAATGCGAAATATTACCATTAACAAGCTACGTACCGAATTCAAAACTTGGCAGAGTATAGTCACAGCTGAGAAGTTAGATACTGGAGTTGAAGCAGAAGATTCTTCATCCACCCCTTCTTTCATGAAAAGAATTTTTAGCTGTGATGAGACTCTGGTAAATCGCAAAATTGAAGTTGATAATTATTTGAATGAGTCAGTTACACCGGTGCAACCTGAAACTATTAATGTATATAAGTGGTGGCATTCCAACAAAAATACCTTTCCAGTCTTAAGCAAGATAGCGTGTAAATATTTGTCAATTCCTGCTACTTCTGTTCCAAGCGAACGGCTTTTTTCTGATGCAGGAAATCAAATTACTGCCAAGAGAACCCGCTTAGCACCTGAATTAGTTAACAAATTATTATTTGTTAAACGCAATGCTTTATATTGCAAAAATGTTTGGATTTAGAATACAATTTTTTGAAATTTTTTTTTTTATTATAGAAATGTTTAACTATATCGTATACATTTAGCTTTTTTTACAATAAATTAAATAAATTATATATATTTTACCTTAATATCAGAATCTGCTTAAGTAATTAACGAGAGTAAATGAGCTATCTTTGAATACATGCTTGAAATATTCTATTAGAAAATAGCTTTAGTATAAATCTGAGAGAAAAAAAAAAAAAAAAAAAAAGGAATGTAGCAGTGTTCGTACATAATGTACATACATACGGTATAATGTTGACCCGGGTTAATCGGGTCACCCGATATACCCGTGTGACCCGTTAATCACCCGGGTGACCCGTGGGTCCACCTGTCGGGTGACCCGGGTCACGTTTTTTAAATCGGGTCCAATCACTAGCCTAAACAGCATGGAAGGAAATAAAAAATGAAAATGAAGCAGTTATTCATGAAAATATCCAATTATACTTAACTATAGTTCCTAGCACAATTCATATACAACATTTTATAGTAAACACCAACTCCAACAGAGCATCTACATCCACGTGGCTTCATCCTCATCCATTTCATTAGTAATTTTATTACAACAATTTGATAATACTGATACTATTGCGAAAAATACAGTAGGCCAACGAAATGCAATAGCTAAAATCAAGAAAACAACTCAACGAGTATTTGAATATGAACAAGCAATCAGAACTATCAGTGACCAAAATTTAAAAGACAAATTATCAGTCAAAATTGAAGTGGATCATGTGATTATTAAAGTAAATAAAAAAAGGCTAGGAAAACTTAAATGTCACAGAAGCTCAAGCTAAACTTAGAGCAAAAAAACAAAAACAAATTGATGATAAAGGTATTGTAAAAAGTATAACAAACCTAGACAAGCACTGGCAGCTATGTTAAATCCAGATCTTTGGGACAATATTCACGATTGTATAGAATTTGGACCTGCTCATACTAAAGAATGAAAGACAATAATTAAAGTTTGTACAATTAAACATTTGCATGAAGCATTAGAAGAAAGATATAATATTTATCTCTCGTGCCAATGTTTGTCAGCATATTTGGAACCTCAACACAGACACACGTTTGCAGCTTGTATCACCACTATCCTGCAAAAGTTGGTCTGGCATTAGTAGCAAGAACTGATATGAAACAACATATTAATGAACACTATTGTTTGGCATCTATTAAAGCAGCTCAAGTTTTTGCAGCGATATTTGCAAGTGATACTGTTGTTATTTCACAAGACGACAAGGCTAAAATTGGTTTGGGTATTCCTGTGATAGGCCGTACATTTAAGACTATGCAATTGATAAATAAACTAGTTACTATTGAAGATCATGTTTTTTCTAAATGAAGTAAAATGAAACTTATATCTTTAGTATATCTGCTTATTGACTCTAAAGATTCAAATACTACACTTCACTCTGGACAACTCACTATCTTTATTAGACCTGAATATTTTGTAGACACATCTTCATTGACACATATGACTAATTTATTAAGCCTTGTCAACAACCAACATTTTGCCTCAGTTTTATTAAAAGAAAATGATATTAAACCAATCTGGGTTCTTCTTGTCGATGGAGGGCCTGACAAAAATCAAACCATTTTAAGAATATTATTGAGTATTGTAACTTATTCCAGGCTCTAGATCTTGATTACTTAACTGTCTGCATGCATGCGCTGCATCAAAATACTTATAATTCTGTGGAAAGGAGTATGGCTTCTTTATCTGAAAAACTTGCCAGTATTACTTTATCTATAAATGAATATGGCATGCATTTGGATTCTCAAGGAAATGTAGTAAATGAAGAGTTAGCATAGCATAATTTTAAATTTTCAGAAAATAGGTTATGTAAACTTTGGAATAGAGATGATATATATGGTAAACCCGTAACAGTACACTATGTTGATCAAATTAGTCAATCTTTTGATGATATTGATGATATTGTATTACCAACATGGGAATAGATTGAACATTATGCTCAGTTATATTGATATTCATTAAATCTAAAGAAATATAAGAATTATTAGTGTTGCTATGAATACAGAGCTTCTGATGTAGCACTTTTACTGGACCAAAATAATGGGTCTTTCCCAATCACCAAAAAAAAAAATGGACATTATATTGACCCAATACATGCCCTCTAATAGTTTGACAAATTAAATATAATAGTTCATGCCTATCAATTTTGAAGGAAATATACCAGCATTTATATTGTAGTGAGTGTGGTAAGTATTACCCTACCTTGAAGTTCATCACAAATCACAACTGTCAACAGCATCTATTCAAATGTGGTCAATCTTGAAAGTAAGTTAATAAGACCTCACTAGATATTAACTTGTTTAACTTTAGAATTGCTGAAGATGTAGTTTATTGTGATTTGTTGGAAGATGAAATTTTGAATTTGCGTGAAGTACAATCTGAAAATAAATGAAAATTAATAGATATTAGAATCTATAACTAATATTTGTTTAGTTAAAAAAAATAAATATATAAGCCTGTTAGCTAACAATCTACATACTTCTCTTTATATAATCTGTAACATGTAGAACATGTTTATGCATTCATATCATCCCAGATTTAGATTTTTGTAAAAAATAAAAAAATAAAAACATTAATAGAATATAAAGAATATAAAAGACCCAGACACATTAATAGGATATAACAATAAATAATAAAAGACCCAGATGTTTAATTTTTTATCTAACCAATAACATTTTGTACTACAGTGTGAACTGTAGCTCGTAATCTTGGCTTGGTGCTGCTAGTATATATTGTATATATAGACGTAATCACCAGCTAACTCCATGTATCCATAGTAGAAATTAGGTGATAAATGGCATGCCTCTTATTTTATTATTTTTATATATTACTGTTCTTTATCAAAATCTAAATCTTCAAGAATATAAGAATAAGTTATTACTTCTTCAGGAACTTCTGGAGTTACTTCTTCAGAAGCCACTTCTTTAGTAACTAGTTCTTCAGAAACCATATTTTCTTGAACTGGTTCTTCCCAAACTAGCTTATCATCAAAGATAATGACAACCTTGTTAATATTATTATTATTATTATTATTATTATTACTAATATTATTATTATTATTACTATTATTATTACTATTATTATTATTTTTATCATTTTTATAATAATAAAAACTTCATTTGAAGTAACTACAGTTGTTGGAATGTTTTGTTATTTTAGAAAACTTTACAAGAAACAAAAATGAAAAATTGGGTGAAAGCACAAGTATTTGCAGTGTGACATATAGCCTAATTTACTATTTTTAAAATTGTCAAATACACGAAGACAAATTAGACAATATTATTAGACAATCCTTACACAAAAATTGATCTTTAAAAGGAGTGCAGAAAAAAAATTTTATTGTATACATATTGCTGTGATATAGTAAGTAGAGCATATGGTAGTACATAGCTGTATGTTTGAATCCTGCTAGTAGTCTGTCATACCCGGTGCACTGCAGTGACAGTACTAACTACAGTTGTGCTTTTTATTATTTCTTTTAAATTTTTATATTTTATTATTATTATTTTTTTTATTTTATTTTTTTTATTAGTAAATTGCTTATATGCTATAATTTTTATTAATTAAGAACTTAAGAACTTATTACATATTGTGTATTACAGGAATTAAGTTGTACTACATTAGTCTATCTAATGACACCCACTCTAAGCAATTTAATCATATTTTTGCTATATCTTAGAATTTAATCAATGGCTATTACCCCATTAATCAACTTTCAGCTGGTGCACGACCTACCTTTTCCCTATATATAGTTTTCTGTATTGTTATTAGTATCTTGTTCCCCTATTCACTTCTTGTAGTAACTTTTTTTTCCTCCCAATTTGGTTCATTCTGGCGGTTTTTCACTCTTGTTGCTCCCAAATTGGTATACATAGCCTTATATTTGATTTAGTACCACTCTGATTTGAATACATGTTGTGCTGCCATTATCATGTTCGTATCTCAAGCCAACTTTTGGGGTGCTGCCATAACATAATCTGTATCTCAAGCCACAACCTTTCCAAATAGGCATAGCCAGATTTATTGGAATTTCCGGTTGTTGCTCTGCAGTGTTCACTTGCCTTTTATGATGCTACCAAAGTTGGTATTGTCTGTAGCATGAGCACTAAAGGCTTCCTAGTATATCTATTTTTATATGTGAGTGTACTACTGATGATTGTTTTTACTTCTAGCTTGGTGCTGCAAGGAGACTTAGAATCTTGACTAACAATGCACCAGCATGGCACTCATTACTGAAGTTAGTAATATATGATGCAATACCTAATGCAACTTCTAACCTTATATAGATGCCAGAGATATTTCCAGAATTTAATTAAACCAATCCTTTTTTACAGATCTTTACTATATCCACCGCTTCACTCATCACTCCCAGTTTGGATATTAGTATTACCCTCCCAAACAAGATCCCAGACCCCCTGGGTTGTTAGTGCTACTATACAGATTTATCACTATATTCACCGCTTCACTCGTTACTTCTAGTTTTAGAACATTAGTATTATACTCCCAAGCAAGATCCCAGACCGCCTAGGTTGTTAGTGTTACCTAAGTGCCTCGAGGATTTACATGTGCAACCTATTTGTCCTAAAACCTTCTATGACGCCGCTTGTCAAACATAACACCAACTCTCTATAGTTTTTATCTCTACAGATTAACATGCGCAACCTATTGCCCAAACTTTCTATGACGCTGCTTGCCAAACATGATGCCAACTCTCTATAGTTAGATCTCCTTCCAGGAATTTCCTATCATATCCGTACTATACTTGGACTTCTATGGGGCTCCATGTTCAATTTTGGCTCCTCATCTATAGGTTATAGAGTTTTTTTTGCCTCTAGCCCGACTCGAACCATGGACCTTGACTTTCCGTGAGGGTTTGGCAACTTAACAATTAAGCTATAGGGCCCAAATTCTTATTTATTAATCATCTAAAATTCAACTTTAATATTAACCAATATACTCAGAAATTTTATGCTATATAGAAATGATCTACAAATATATTAGAAGGTTATTCTAAACTTATTTATAATTTAAAAAACAAAAATATTTTTTATTTTCTGAAAATAACAATTAGTTTTAAAAAAACCTTTAAATTTTTTTTTATAAAAAGAATTCTAAAGTTTTGTAGTTTAGGGATTCCTGGGAATTTCTAAGACTTAATAAGGTGGTTATGCACTAAATATCAAAAGTATAACAACACAGTCAATAATTTGGCCAAAATTTAATTAAATTTTGTACTACAGAATTGCAGATCTTTACAAAAAATAAAATAATCTGCATTATTTTTTTATTTTTATTTTTATTTTTTTTAATCTTAGGCAGTTTTGCCAGTGCTTTATTAAGATTCTAAGTATATTACTAAATTATATACTTATTTATTTCTAATTTGCAAGCCTAATATCACCCAGCTATCTAATAGGTACCCAATTGCAACCTACTACACTAATTTGAAAACAAGTTTAAAAATTAGGGCTATGTTAAACCAGCCTACATGCCATACCAAAATGGCTTCTTATCTCTTTCGATTCTACTTAAAATCACTTTCTCTACCAAATTATCTATTACTCTTACTATATCTACTTTTTTTCTTCAACCTTGTGTATTTTGGTTCCTTTACGACCAGACGTTTTTCTATCTCTTGTGCTTAATATTTTATTTTTCCCCATTACTGCTTTTTCTTTTTCTTTCTTTACTTTTCATCTATTTTGTGATTAGGCTTTTTTCTCTACTTTCTATTGTCTTGTGATATCTTTACTTTGTTTTCAG